TAGCGGACCGGCGGTATACCCCTTGTGGACTTCAAAGCTGGAGACGCGCGCTATGGATCAGCAGTACCGTCTCTGTCCCGTTTTAATGCTTAGCTAACAGTAGGACTCACCAGCATGTTCGTTTGCGGTTCATAGCAAATATTTGAGAGTTTAGTTAATGTCTAACGATGCTTTTGTTCATCATGTTTTTGTTCAGTTTTTACGTGGTTAATTCGTATCCAGATACTGTTAAGAGCAGTATCTGGATATAGATGTGGTAGTCTGAGATTGGGCAGAAGCTGGCACGGTGTAATGATCTGGAAAAATCTCCTCTATGAAAAGGAAGGCTGTGGTGGAAAGTGGCCTTAAATTGATGAAACGAGGGGTTCGCGTTGTAGGGTTAAATATGAAAGAAGCAGTGTGCTTCTAAATTCAGTTTAATTAACTTTGTCTTGGCAGAAGCAAACGTGCTCTGTGTCTTGCAGGAAAAATTTCACGGGTGTTGTGTTAGATCCGGAATATGTTCTTGTTTTAGATTCTTTCCTCTGAGTGCTTCTGCTGAAGAAGGGGAAGTCAAAAAGTTGGTCTCTGAACAAACTTGTAAAAGGGCATACTAGTACTATTCTCACGAGAATCTAGTGAAACGGGAGTTAGAATTTTGATCTTTCATAAAGCTATTTAGAGTTGTGCCAGGGAAGCTACATCCTCACTTCCTATTCTTAACATAAAAGCTCACCTTCATACTGTTAAACTCTATAAACAAATTACTAAATTCTGCAAAAGCCAGTGCTACTGTGTATTTCTCTTAAGCTCTCCAAAACTGGAAACCTAATTTAAGATAATTGCTAATTTTTCGATGTCACTTCTGCTAGTCTCATAATTTCATTACGGAAAGCCATCTAACGTCTCAAAGATGGACAAAAGCTTTGTAGAAAAGAGACTCCTAGATATCACTGTGCTGGTTGTGTGCAACTGCTATGCCAAACCCTGCTCTCCCTACTCTGCCAGGTAGTGTGATTTGCTGCATTCAGCCACATCGGAAATTAAGTTAAGTAACGTTGCTCTGGAACATTTAACCCTGGAGCAAAAATCAGTCACTGTGGTTTTTTTCCCTTTAGCGTGCAAGGCCTGCTAGGCCTGTGCCTGCTGCATTGCGTGCAAGGCCTGCTAAGTCCATGGACTCTCCGATTGCCTTGTCATCATCTTTCGTTCAGTTCTGAAACAAGAGACTTGAAAGGCATAGATGCGTATTAACTTAATTTCACAACATCTTTTTTCTTGAGACTCCAGACTTGTGGAAGGAAAATTCTTTCCTGAAGGAAATTCCTTCCTGAGCACTTCCAGCTAATTCTTTGCCTTTTTCATAGGTAGGTCTTAGTATTTTTCTCAACATGTTCTTATGGTTTTGCAGATATACTTCCTTTACATAGATATTGTGGAGGAAAATTGTTTTAAGGCTCCAGAACACAAAGTATTCCTATTTTCAAGATGCATAAATAGTGTGAACTTATCTTAACGTCGTAGAGCTTTCGTCTCTAAGAAGCGGGTTTCTGTTGTGTCTTGCACTCTGAGAGCAAAGAAATAGTGCCTGTAACTTCAGTTCTAGCGTCTTGTCCGTCCTGCTTGGTCTTTACAGATCTGAATGACTTTTGCCCCCTTACTTTCAAATGTATTTATCTGCTTTTACCCTTGGAAGCATGGTGAATTTGACTGTAGTTGGGAGGAGTCCTATAGCTAAATGTTCCAGTGTAGCTTGGCTGACATAATAAACATTGATAAGAAGGTGCAGTTTCCATATCTCTGGAAGATATCACATCAGGTGTTAAGAGAACAGATGTGCGTGGGATGATTAAGGCGGCTAGTCATTAGGTTAGCCACGCAGTCAAATATGTTTGACCTTTATTGTCTTTATTTATATTGCATTAGCATCTAGAAATCTCCAAGATCATTGTGCATTGTGCTAGACAGTCTATATTATGTGAGCTAGTTTTGCACCCTGTAGAATTTGATATAGACAAATACAGTTAGGAGAAGGGTTGTCTCTTAGGGGCAGAAATGGGTGTCACCAGGTTTCAGCTAGCCTATTCACCGCTAGAAATAGTGTGAAAAACCTCTTGACTCTCAGCACTCCGCGAGTGTTTGTTCTTTTCTGTACTGAGGGATAAATTTTAGTGTATATTAATACGTTCTGCTTTTTGTTTCCAAATTACCTTATAGCTTCATGTCTGTCAGTTGCCAGCTGGAGTAGATACTTACTAGAAATTTAGAAGAGAAACGTTTGGTCACCCTGCTATGCATAAACTTAATTATATCAGTACAACAAATGTAACATAGCTTCACTTGATCTTTATTTAAAATAGAAGTCATCTGCTCTTCTATTAATTTGACTCTGTCATTATACTGTATACCTCCTAAAGCAAAGTTGGTCACTTGTTTGCAGAACAAGTGAAAAGAGTTATCCTCCTCTTTGGTGTTGGCCCAACCAGACAGTGCTTCGTGTGACTGGAAGCACTTACTTCACCTGCCTTGAAGCTTCCCACCTTGATTCACATATAAATTCAATCTCCGATTCCATGCTTTTCCTTCCTCGCAGTTTTCAGAAATGATTGCCTCAAACTTTAGATCCCTGCCTTCTCTGTGTGTGTTTCTGTAAACTGTCTCTTTATCATGTTGCAGTTTAGTAAGATCACAGTGCATCAGACTTCTTTCTGTACTTTACTTTCAGCTCTGAACTCTGTGCTTTGCTCCTTCTCTGAGTAATGCAGCACAGTTCATTTGATCTAGGTTATTCAGAGAGTTCATAACTTCTCATTCAAATTGCATACCATTTGTTCTTAAATAATGTAAACGGCATGCCAACCAGGTAAGCCTGAATTATGTTTCCCTTTCCCATTTCATTGCCCTTCTGACTGTCTCACGATACGCATGTGTACAAAATAGTTCAGAAAGTGTTACTACAGATCTAAGAAAAATGAACTATTTATTCCATGTTTGTGGGTTTTTTTGTAGGCAAATGCCAGCAATTTAAAGAATTTCCTTTCAGCTGTGAGACTGGCTCACCAAGGTACCGACATTGGAGCGCTCCCCCTCTCAGCTCTGGTACCAGCAAAGACCTCTGAAGTTGAAAAACCTAAAACGAAGATGATCATAACATCAAGAAGGGACTATCCTCTCACCAAAAGCTTTCCTTATTCCCTAGAACATCTCCAAGCCTCATACTGCAAACTTGCTCGAATTGATATGCGTGTGCTTTGTTTAAAGAAACTCAGAAAACTAGACCTAAGTCATAATCATATTAAGCAACTGCCAGCTACTGTTGGTGACCTGATCTGTCTTCAGGAGCTTAATTTGCACAACAATCACCTGGAGTCATTCAGTGTTGCTCTGTGCAACTCCACCCTTCAGAAATCTCTGCAGTTCTTGGACCTCAGCCAAAACAAAATTAAAGCACTTCCAATTCAGTTTTGCCAACTGCGAGAACTTGTTAATTTAAAGCTCGATGACAATGAGTTGATTAGGTTGCCATTCAAGATGGGCCAGTTAGGCCATCTACGCTTCCTGTCGGCAGCTCGAAACAAACTTCCTTTTTTGCCCAGTGACTTTAGGAAACTCTCTCTTGAGAACTTGGATCTCTTTGGAAATCCTTTTGAACAGCCTAATCCACTTGTTCCCAGCATACAGCTGAAAATACCATTGACTTTATTAGAATGTGCTGCAAGGGCAACTGTAAATTACAGGTAAGAATAGTGTGATTGGTACATATGTCACTCCAGTTCAAACCTGTCAAGTCTAAACTTTCCAGTTTTTTCTCTGTTTATGGCAAGTGTTCTTCACATATTAAAAACCATAAGGTTAAGGTTGCTTGAATCCCACTTGTAAATTCCTCTCTTTATTATACAAGATAAAGCGGTTTCTTGTAGTAGCTTGGTGTCTTTGGGAATGTTTAGAGAAAGCTAGCAATTGAAATATTATTATTCACAAAATGGGGAGCACCACAACAGAGCATTTTTGTGCAGCCATGGGAAAAGAGAACCCATTTCCGTGACCCTAAACCGCTTCCAGAATTTTATATGGAGGTGCTTATGTTACAGTGGATTTTTGTGATACAGGTCATAATTTGTTTTGGGCCTTAGCTTGAAGATTCCTGCTTGCCCCTCATCTTGTGTTCACGTTAAAGCACGCTAGACTGCATGAAAAATCTGTTAGCCCGTAGCTATCCTTTCACGTGTGAAAATAGCGTGTTGGCAAAAGGTTACCTTCCACAGGACAGCTTCTAGTTATGGACCTTGGTCAGTCTGCCCCTGCTTTAAATGAGACCTTACACAAGCTGAGCAGTGTTAGAAAGAGACTGCGAGGGGCTTCTCAAAGGGAGAATATCATGCTGCAGTTGGCATTACTTACTGCAGGTTTCTCCCTACTTCAGGTATTCTTGAACTGTTTCCTTCTGTGTTGAAGTTAGGCTGTTCCGCCTTATGCGGAGAAACCCAGTTCTGAGGTAGTTTTACAATTAATAGCATCTCTTGCTTCTTCCTTGCCAGGCTGCTGTATGTCTGTTTTTCTCCCCTCCCTTTTCCCCACGTTATTTGCATAGCTCTGCCTAAATGCCACTGTCTGTGATTTTCTAGTACCATCTGGCGCTACTCCCACCCCATTTTCGTGGGTGAAAAGGGAGCGAAAAGATGGGAGAGAGTCACAGATACAGAAAGGGGGTGAGAGACAGACTTGATGTTCTCATAATTTAAGCTCTTTGCCCGTTCCTGCCTTAGGGGTGGGGAGAGCCCCCAGAGCCTGGGTAATTGCTCAGAAGTCTGTGTTAAAGGTGTCCGCAGGCATGTGGAGCACACCCTGGAAATGAGCTGAGCTAGCAACCAAGTAGTCTGGTTCTTATGTTCTCCGCTTCTGACCTAGCTGAGTTTAATCTAGAGCGATGATCAAATTTTTGCAGGCCTCCTTTCCGGTCTTTAATATAAATTGCAGTGTTTTTGATACTAGTATGATTAGAGCGTGTGTTTTTCCAGAGAATATAATGCCTCTGCACTGGTCAAATGTTGGTGCTCAGTTACATTACCAGAGTACCTGAGGATACTTGTCGTTAACCTAGCCCCTGGCCCCAGTACAGCAAGTGTTGTAAAAAGCCACCATCGTGCCGAATGAAAAAGGCTCTCTGCTCCAAGAGTAAGACAAGGGAAACAGTCCTCTTGCCTAAGGGGTCTGTGATTATAAGGAAACAGTGCTGGTCAGAGGAGCCCTGGCATTTCAGCAGCCTCACTGTTACTGAGATGTCCAAAGGTGTTGCAGCGCAGGAGCTTTTGAGAGGATAAGGAGGGCAGTTTTGTGCATTCATTCCGGGGGCTTCTCAGATGGAAGGGACTCGCTAAGCATTAGTGATTTACCTTTAAAAACAGCAAAAAAAATAAATAAAAAAAAAACGAAAAAATAAAATGTAAGAAATGGGCAACAGAAGCTGTCTAGCTGTCTGACATTCACTGGATGCGTGAATTAACAAATAATGAGAAATAGGAGTGACAATAGGCTATAAAAGCCTTGAGAGAGGAAGAAAACAGAAGGAGGGATGGCACCATAAAAGCAAATGTTTGGAAAATAATCTTTGTGGTGGCATTCTGGGCAAGTACAAGAGCTGTGATTGTGCTTGTCATGACCAGAAAAAAGGATATCCTGTAACTGAGGTGGAGGAAAAAAAAATCCATGGGTGTCTTAGCTATGTGAATGATGGTGTGTAGAAAGAATGAGGACTATTTAGGTATAGCCTGGATGTGAGTCAGTGAGACCTATTTGGTAAGTCTTGAGTTGACAGTTGTGCACTGGCGGTATCCATATTTTAAAAGAAAGTTAACTCTATTAAATAGATCAGGGAAATTCTTTGTTTTTTACCCTAAACACAATGCCACTCATCTGTGAATGTAGAAGCGGCAGTTTCTTCGTTCTTCTTGTCATTGAATGTCATCACTGCCATGATGGAGGAGAAGATAGATTTGTCAACAGAGAACCTTAATTTATTGTCTGCAGCGTAATACTACTGTAAAAAGGCTCACTTGATCTCCAGTTCACTCTCTGGATACAGTGTGTTTATGATACTACTGATTACTCATTTTAGAGAGTGAAGAGCAGATTGTGGGTACCTTAGCAGGCCAGGGTGAAATATGATCTTCCTGGCTAATGTGAGGGAAGAACAAATGTGTGCCCCGGTTATCTCTTTTTTTTTTTTTTTTTTTTCCTTAGTCCTCTTTTTAATTCTGTATCTATCTCTAATTCTCTATCCCCATCGTAAGGTGTTATAATTTGCATGAACTCCCTGCTTCTTGTTACAATGACTTCTGGAGGCCAGATTCTTGGCACTTAGTGGTCAGTAACACGGTTATGTGTTTTTTGTGACCATTTTGAAAAATGGCATTTCAATTTCTAACTAGTCTGGTATTGCTAGTGCCAAAATTTCAAATTTGCCTTTTTAGATGATCTTGAAATGTTTTGGGTTTTTTTTTTTTCCCCCTGACTGGTGCATATGGCATGTCACTGTGTTTGAGTGACATTGGTTAATTTTGTAGTGAATTCTCACTTACTTCTCTCGTTCAACAGAATCCCTTATGGTTGTCATCTGCTCCCTTCTCACCTTTGTGAAGATCTGGAAGTGGCTAAAACATGCCAGTGTGGAAGTGCCTGTCTCAGCAGCTTCATTCAAATCACAGTGACCATGAATCTCCATCACGTAGCTCACACTGTGGTCCTCGTGGATAACATGGGAGGTACAGAAGCACCCATTATCTGCTACTTCTGTTCTCTAGACTGCTATTCCCAGTTCCTAGACAGGTACCTGCAAAGTAATGGGTGACCCCTAAGGAGTGCAAAAGCTCTGCCGGAAGTTCTGTCCAGTGATGGAGGGGTCTGAAATTGTTTTGTGTTTTGTTACGCACATGGGCTATTGTGAAACAGAGAGCTATCGTAGAGCATTTGCTACCGACAGCAAATGTCAGTCTTACAGTGGGGAGGCACTATGAGCCTGATGTGGTGGTCTGACTGTTTCTCTACTACTAGATTCTCTCTTTGGTTGGAATAAAAAGTGGTTCTTAGCTTGAATGAATCTTCCTTAGAATGTGTTTTGCTTTCTTTTTCCTGTAACTATGACTTTGTCCAAAGGATCATGACAGTTTTGTAAGTGGCTTCTCCTTCCCAAAAGGAAGGTGGGTGAATTTCCGCTTCCTAGCGTATATCATACTTCCTTGCTTACTGTTCACTTGAGGCTATGAACTCTGCCTACAGAAGAGGACTACATTGACTTTATCACTGGACTGGAATCTTCCCAAATTGTTTACTCTAGAGCAACTTGGTAGGCTGCTATGAGAAGAAGTTATGGTGTCGGTGGTTCAGAACTGGTCATGTTATTCCAGGTACTCTTTTTTTTTCTTTTTCTTTTTTTCTTTCTTTTAAGTTCTGTGTATAACATTCTCCCTTCAAGCAGGGACCAGCAACCAGCAGACCAGCATTGTTTTTTACTGGAACAAATGTTTCTGGTTTTATCTCTTTGTTATGAGAAGCATCTTTTCTAAATATGTGGTCTAAACTTTGTTTCAGATCTCACATTTTAAAGATTCTCGATTTGTTCACTGTGTCCGCTTATTAAATTTTGAAACCGTTTATATATATGTGAACTGTGTTTTCTCTAATGGATATTTTATTCAATGTATTTTAGGAATTAGCTCCAGGCCTTTGTCCTGGTAAAGGTACTGAAACACTTAGCATATCCACACCCTTATTTCCCAGTCTTGTCAGCTGCTCCATGGCTGAAGGATAGAAACAGCATGGAACAACCACTGTTGAACAAAAGTCTTCAGGCGCCTCATGCACTGGAGCACGCAATGACTTGGAGAAAGCATGTAATACTGGTTTCTAAAGCAGCATTGACTGCCCAGGGATGAGTTATACATCTTGCACCTCTTCAGGTCCTAAAAAATACACTGCTGTGGCAATTACATGTAGTTGCAATGGGAAAAACAAGACATCCGTAGCTACTGAGTGCAGAACTGGTCCAGACTGGCCTTCAGGTTACACCTAAATGTGATGCTCAGTGAGGAGCAGTCTGAAAGCAGGCAGCAGGCTGCTGAGTGCACAGTACAAAGAACGTATGCAGGTATCGCTTAACAGCTACTTGAACATCACCTTCACTTACATATTACAAAATGTCAGTCTGAAATTCTTCACTTTCCAAGACGCTCACAGCTGCTCACAGCATTGAAGGAAGCCCACAGAAGGGCTTTACTCTGAAAGAAAATCATTGGCTCTCGCAAGACCAAGAGATACTTTTCCTGAGGAAGAAAAACCTTCCAAGTTGTTCTAGAAATACCAAGTGTCATTAAAGCAGCCTCTGAATGTCAAAATAACTTGATCGTGTTGTCTTCATACAGTATTTATAAAGCATTAAACTGACTTTTAAGTAATTGAAGGAAGATTTGGGTTAATCATTCCTTGTATGTTTTTCTTCAACTACAGAAAACTTGCAAAGCAGAACGCCGACTAGACCTATTTACCTCAACACTAATCTTCTGAAAGTATTGTAGAACTAAACTTGGAGAATTTTAAATATCCGTATGATGATGCTATTGTAAAGTGAGAGAATTCCCGTCCTGATTGCAGCAGCCTGAAGATTACTCGCGTGGAAGAATATCCCTTAGGTGGAGAGCGCGATTAAGAGGAGGGAAGTGGTGGAGGCAGCAGCTTGGCCTCCCGTGGGACGCATGAGGAGTTTCACGTTGCCATGCGGAGGGGTGGATGTCTGTGCAGCGGCTGAGCCCCTTCCAGAGGACGCGGCCGTGCCCAGTGGAGGCAGATACTGTGCACCTGCGCGGTCAGATAGAGTTAGGGAGAGCAGGGGCTGAGGCCCCATCCAAGCCCTGTTGTGTAGGGAGTAGTAATCAGCTGGGGGCGTTAAGGGCCGGTGTGAAGAGGAGTGCCGTGGGTTTTGTAATGAAAAACGGGCTGTGAACTGTGGGAAAGGGATTTTTGTCTGGAAATATCTTGCTCTTGCCTCTGCTCATACTGTTTTTTTTCTTGTTTTCCTTTCCTTCCATGCCTTAACGCTGGGATGGAATTCTCTCTGAAGCAGATTTCTTTGCCAGAGTTGACTTGGCATCCTGTAATTCTCTGAAACTACAGCGTTGACCCGGTAAAGTGCTGGAGTCCTTTTCCGCAGAGGTTCTTTCGCAGCACTTAGTGCTCTAGCGTCCGAGTGCCTCCTAGCAGTGCAGCAGGTGTGTTGTGATCTCGCCGCACAGGGGTCAAAAATGCAGAGGAGCTATTTATGCTCCTCATTTCCCTATCTTTCAAGAAGAGATGAGGGAAAGGGAAGTCTTTTGCAGCCAAGAGGAGGAGCTGGAGAGGTTTATGATGTCCCTTAGTTCCTGTGGGCATCCGTTCCGGCCGTGTTAGCTTTCAAAGTGCCAATGGTCCCGGCAAACAAGATTTATCCCTGCTGCAAAACCCCTTTGTCAGTAGGGTGAAGTTTGGCCGTGGATTCGTCTCGGAGGTAGCAAGGTGCTTGCGGCACTGGCGTGCGGGAGCCGTGTGCGGCCAGGGCTGCTGCCGCAGGCCTCGCCAGGCGAGGGCTGCACACCCCCGTTCCGCTCCCCCCGCCGGGCCTTGCACGCTTGTCGTCCAGCCGGGAGGTGGCGAAGCAGCAAAGAGCCGAAGCAGTTCTTCCAAGGCAGATAAAGCTAAAGCAGCAAGTACTACTTTCGGAAGAAACGCGAGTAGCGTAGCGTTGCTGAGGGAGCCCTCGTTATCCTGAGCCGTTGTGGAAGAGGGTCTCCCCCAGCTGTTTTCCTCTGCTTGCCCGCAAGCCAGCTGCGGTGCCGCTTAGGTCCTGCTGCTGTTAGCTGTGCGCTGCATTTATGGGGCGAAAGGCCAGCGAGCAGGCGTGGAAGCGGCCGTGGGAGCAGTTAGAGCTGGCAAAGGACGGGCCCAGCTCGGTTATCTTACGTTGCTAGTGCGGGAGTGGGTGCGACCTAACTGCTGCATCTAGGCTTTGCAGAGAAAAAACGTGGCAGGGCAAAGGTTGTTCTCATAAGAAATGATTCTACCTTATTTAAGGTATTTGTGGAAAACATTTTATGACCGTTTATGTGGCAGTTCCTATTCATAGCAAAGCAATCGGATCGAACCAAACTGGCTTTGCTGCAGAGACTGTCCTGTCTCTTATAAGGGGTGCTGTTCTTTTTAGTGTTGCACTTGGAAATTACCGGGTGTGCTCAGATGATTAAAAGCAACTTGCTTTTTTGAGTTGCGCAAAGAATATGTCAAGCTGTGAAACTCGTTAAAAACATCCTAAACACAGCAGTATCCTACCCGTCCTTTTTGTTAACGTTATGCCCGAGAAGTTCACTGTTTGCCTCTGACTTGCGGAGTCAAACACTGTGGAGCTTATTCGTGTTTGATTAAAACAAGGGATGGCTCTCGCCCTGAATTTAGGTAAAGGGCACTCTGTCTAATGTGAGATGCTTTTAAATGCCATTAAAACATGTATTTATCAGTAATGTTGGGGCTGGGGAACCCTCTATGGCAGACTTCAGTCTGATCTTTCTGAATGCTGCTGCAAACTGGACTAGGGGCGGATTAGAGGATTCTCCTTTTTCCCTCGGCCTTCCTTTACTGTATTGATGCCATTTACGCGTTGTCCAAGTGCTTCGCAATGTTTATTGCGCTTATCCTTACAACGCCTAGGTAAGGTAGGGAAATTCGATTATGCCCGGTCAGACCATGTTTCAGTTCTACCCAAGCTTGTGCAGGACGTTACCTCTGGCTCTAGAGTACCGGGCGACCTTCTTTAGGCAAGAAATATTTAAAGTTATGGAAATAAGCATTGATGTTAAACTACCTCCAGAATTTTCTTTAAAAAAAAGTCCTCGCACCTACGTGTGTTAGTACCAGTGTAAGGAGGAGGTAGTAGTAGCCCGCTGAAAGCAGCGCGTTAGTGCTGTGGAGGGGGGGCTGGAGCAGGGAGCTGCAGAAACGGCAGCCAGAGCTGGGGGAGCTGCTGTCCGGGGGAGCGTGCGCGTGAAATGCAGCATTGGCGGTGCGGAAAGATGGAGACAATAAAACCTTTCCAGTGGCTTCTGGCCGCAGCTTGGCAGCACTGCTGATGCTCAGCAGCCTCGATGGACAGCGCTAGCCGAGGGGGTGAAATCTGCGCTGGGGAGGCCACCCGCTGACACCTCCAAACTCGGCTCAAAAACCGTTGATTAGGTTTATAACGCTTTTTGAAACGGAACTTGCACGATACTGAATTCGTTGTGTAAGCCCAAAGCGGAGCTGCGGTGCCTCTTTCGTCTCGCTCGTTCTTCCTTTTGCAGGCCCGCGCGTGGGCGACGGGAGCGGGTAACCTTGAGGAGCGGGCCGCGCCGCGGGCTGCCCACGGCAGGCCGGGGG